CAATTAGGGCGTGGTACAAACAGCGAAAAACATTTTCGAAATCTGTTGAAGGAAGATATCTTCAGTATTCCCAGGTTTATTATATTTGGAAAAAAGATATACAAATGACTTTTTATTTTATCCATTTTTTTTTGTTTTCAATTAAGTTTTATTTTTTTCTATTTTAATTAAAGGAGTGCATATTCCTATTGAAGAATGTAGACACCTTCACCCCTCTCTCCAAATAAAAATTAAAAGTTAAAAAAATATAATCTACCGAAGTAAAGCTATAGTCATGGGCTTGTAACTTTCCATATGATATGTTCTATTCTGTTAAATTCGTATTCTCTTTAGGTTTCCCCGTACATATGTATTTCATACAGGCTCCCAGCAGCGGCACTTTGACCTTTATACAACTATTATGGGAGTTGGTATATGGGCTTATAAGGTTTCATAGTAATCAAGACTGTAAATGACGTATCCCTAACTACTAGGGCATCTTGGAATATTATTTAGTTCATGGGCTCTGAAGTAAAGTGGATATGCTGCTACCGCTATTTAATTTTTTTCGGGTAAACTCTACCGCTATTTTTTATGAACGAAATGTATTCATCGATTTTTTATAATTTTTTTAAAAATTAATTATACTTTACTAGATTAAACGAGTTAATATAATTAATAAAAAGTGAGCCTACTTTTAGTACTTCCATTAATTAAATGAGTATATTATTAGAGTGATGCAACATTTTTTCTGCTAGGTTATACTGTTTACTAATCCAATCCTTTTACCTTTACTATCATTTTGTCTGTTGTATGGTGTCTAAATCAATGATTTCCAAGTACTTTTCATTACTTTCTTTATTTTTTTTTCTCTCCTCTCTTTTTACTCTCTGGGAGTGGGATCCAATGTACTTAGAAACTACTTATTTATATATCATCCAAGGGTTAAAAAATGGTAATAAAAATAGGAAGATTAAATTAGTAGTTGACATAACCTACCCCTATTTTTTTTTTTTAAGTTTTACAAAAATTCCGTGTAATAAGTTTGTCTAAACAATTCATCTTTTAATTTATCTTGTATAGTGAGCTTAACATTAACATGTTAATGGGTAATGTAATGTTACTTCTCATTTTAAATGAATATTTTACTCAAATTTATCTTTTTCTCTATTTTGGTTGAATATTAATTTTATCCCCAAGATAAGGAATATCAAGTAGCCTGAGTCCTTCCCACATACTCAGACGAACAATGCAGGAAAACTCCCAGCTGTCTTCAGTTCTACCTAATCGATTGTCTTCTGAAGTCCCATTTGATGCTTCCCACCATCTTCATCACTTTAAATTGGCATGGGTCCTTCCCACATATTCAAACTGCAGAACCTGTGTTGCAGTTAAAGCCTTCAAGTGATCGCTCTCTGCAACGATGGAGGATTGGTGAAGAAGGGAACAATGATTTTGGGATTCATGTTAGAAGCGCATGGGGGTGGACGTTAAATGTAACAACTCCCTAACGTTTTCATTTCGCTTCAAACCTCGGGTTATGTCTTACAGAATAAACAGTGTATGAGAAGTGACAAAGATGAAATTAAATGGGAGTAATCTGTCTTTTTTTTTTCTTTTTTGGTGAAAAGAGTAATCTGTGTTTTACCCTTATTTTCATCTACTTTGTTTACAGAAGTTTAACGTGGAAGATATAATGGCCATGTTTGAATACTATTTTTAGAAAAGGTTTTTTGGTTTTGAGAAAAAAAAAACAAAAAAAACTCGTATCTATTTTATAATTTTTTTTTAAAATAATAATAATTTTTTTGTTTTTAAAATCAAATTTATAGAACATGTCTGAGTTATTTTTGTTTTGTATTTTGACTTTTAACTTTCAAAATAAAATAAAAAATACAAAAAACACCTATTTTGATCACTATTATTTAAAACAGTTTTAAGAAAAATAAATAAATCAAAATACCTGATATTTGATATTACTGATTAGGAGTCGAGTGTCAAGCAAATGGTGGGCCCTGCCCCACATACTCACCTGGATGCTGAATTAGCTGCAGGGATGGGTATGCGCATGTATGCCAAATAACCGACCAAAGCTAATGTATTTCTAATTTATTTTCCTTTGTTTTTTGGTAAAAGGGGGGGTGTAAGAAGCTGAGGGCTGTGTGTTGATGGAAGATAGGATTTTATCAATATTTTTTGTTTGTTTTATTGATCTGTTATTATTGGCTATTTTTAAAATCTCTATTAAGCCTGTTTCACATACCATGTCCACAAGCAAGCACATTTTAGTTTTGAGGTTTGTACTTAAGCCTAACCTAACCAACTTTTTAGCCTTTGCATTTGCATTGATCCTAATATTTGGCTCACATTCACATTGGTCTACCCAGATATCATTTTATTTTATGGTATTGGCTAAGCAAATTTTGTAAACGAGTGGGTTTTCGTATCCAAGGTCAAGATGCTTATCAAAATATTTTCTAACTGGATCCCAAAAAGAGATGCTTTAAAATTATATCACATAATTTACTAGTTGGATTTATGCCAGACCACTTTTCATCAACCCTAAGAAAGAAAAAAAGGAGAGGACAAGTACTCATCAAGTAATAAAATATTTAATGAATTTTCAATTTTGCATGTAATTACTCTTGAGCTGCCAGTGTGCTTATCGAATCATAGCACCAATGTCAAACAAACGTCAACCTAAGCCATATTAAATTTATCACATCTCCCAATTGGATGTAAAGGTTAAGTGATTAATGTTTCTCTACACACTTTTATATATATGTAGAATATAAAATTATCTCTTATAATATAAAAAATACTAATTTCAAAAGGCTAAATAATTCAGCCCTCAATATATTTTCATTTGTATCAAATATCTGGATTAACTAGCCCCAGCCAAACAAACTTGGGCTATGAAATATAATCTTGAGTTAGCATAGATTCAAGTATGAGTGGCCCATTTTAGCTAAACAGGTTAATAGACAAAACTTTTGGTGCATCGTATGTACTCAATTGGATATATCTTTTTTTCATATTTAGAAAAAATTTCATCAATTTTGAAAAAAAAATTTCCCCCACATTGAAATTTTTTTCCTTTTGGAAAAAACGATGTACCCAGTTGAATACTGAACGAAAGTTTTTTCATCATAACACAGGCTTATTTCGGAACACGTCAACTTCACCCAATTGTACGGTATACGAGGCCAGTGCCTCTGGTTCTATAATGAATGCCCTTTCATTGGGTTCTCTATTTGGTGATAACACTATGTCTATTTTGTTGGGGGGGAAAGCACATATAATATCTCAATTATTATTAAACCATATCAGGGTCGAAGCATATGTTAATGTCCCGAAATTTGTCGTTAAGCAAAAGGCTTACCAAACTCACTATCATTAAACATGAGCTGAGGCTCTTTATCGTACTGTGAAGCATGTCATCCCCACAAAGGAGCCACTTTCAATAAACCACTTTCAATAAAACCCCGTATGTTGCTATTCATATCTTTACCTTTTTTTTTTTTCTCAACAAAGCAACCAAAGTTTGGTCCCCATTACGGATAACACGCACTTAAGCTAGCACCGTGGACACTCCTCCTTTTGTGTCATTTTCTCACGCATGTCCACAAACTCATTCCATATATATATATATATATATCGATCCTTCTCCGGTTTTCAGTGATCAACCTCAAAGTCATGCACGTTTGTGCCACAATCATGTGGTTTGATTTTTGTCCCCTACAAGCTCCGTCACATGCGCCTGCATTTCATTGGGATGAGGACCATATAAGATTTAGAGTTGCCATGAAAAGGATCGTGCATCATCTTGAATTTGGATATCTGATTGCGATGTTTCTGAAATGGTCAAGAAGCTAAAGTGCCAGAGTCCCAGTTTTGCATTCAAGGCCACCGCCACTCTATCAGTGTTGTGGAAAGTGATAGGATTTTAGTAGGATATTTCACTACCCAACCCAACACTTCACCTAGTTATGATTTAAGCAAGAAAAATAAAATAAACATAAAAGTGAGTTTGTTTATAAAATACACAAGTAATGATACATTTACTATTGAATTTTAATATGTTAATATTTTAAAGGGTAAGATATTGTGCTGCATATTTTTATGTCTATTTCATCTATTCTTTTCCAACACCGTTAGATCAAAATCTAATAATATTGGACAAAAATAAGTAAAATAAACATAAAAATAAGTAGACATAATATCCTATTACATATTTTAATGTGCTTTATATTGAATCAACAATTAGATATATACACTTTTCAACGTATAAGTCGATTTTAAAGTAACCTTATCCTTTATTTTAATATGAAATATTCTAAATTCACCCCCAAATGGATTTTGTATGTTTTTGACAAAATATAAAAGTAATGGCGTATTAACCATTGAATTTTAATAAGCTAAGATTATAATGTATTTTAAATTAAATCAACGATAAACACATCTTTATGCAAATATATATATATATATATATATATATATATATATATATTTTATAGTTGCCTTATCCTTGATTTTAAACTTAAGAACTCGAAATTCACGGGCAGATTGATTTTTTTGCGTTTTTAACAGAATATTATGCTAAGCGTAGCTCGTATTACACCTAAAAAATTGCTCATAAATTAGGTATGTACATATAAAACTCACTTATATTTTGCATTACCTCAAGAAAACACATTTTCTTTGGAAATAAATTCAATTTGATGACAGTGCTTTTTTTAAAAAGCACTTCTAATAATTACTCAAATCCATTTGTGGTGCAGCCAAATGGAGTAGGTTTAGCACTTGTTTATACTACTAAGTACAGTAGACAGTAGATATTGAGTTGCTCATATAGACTCATTAGTGTTGTTGATTCTTTTTTTTTCTTTTTCTAGTAATCTGAAGGATATCCTCCTGCCGTGTTGTTGATTCTTTAGAGCAAAGGTGACTAACAAAATGCAAAAAAGAGGCTTTCAATAAATTCATAAGAGACTAATCATCCATTTCAATCTCGTTCCTGTATGCATCTTCGTCATTTCCTTAGTGAGATTCATAAAGACAAGAAGATACATTCTTGAATAGGAGGGGAAAGGTAGGGAGATACACAAACTATACTATTGGTCAAGACAAAAAAAATGGCAATAATTATAATGGGTGGTATATGGCATATATTCCTGTAGCTGGTAATTTCATTTGAGTGGCTAGCCTTATTTTTCATCATCTTTTGGTCTTGTTGAAGAACTTGAACCAGAGGCCATCCCAATGACTTGGTTGTGTGTGAACCTTTGTAATTGAATCATGCGTGCATAAATCCCATCAGGGTGATTTTTCAACAACTGTGAATGTGAACCTTGCTCAGCTACTTTCCCATCATCAATAACAGCAATGAGATTCGCATTCCTGATTGTTGAAAGTCTATGTGCAACAATAATAGTTGTTTTTCCTGAGGAGGCACGGTCTAAAGCCTCTTGAACAGACCTCTCAGATTCAGCATCAAGTGCACTTGTGGCCTCATCAAGAAGCATGAGTTCTGCCTTCCTCACAAAGGCCCTAGCAACTGCTATTCTTTGCTTTTGTCCCCCGGACAGTTGAACACCTCTCTCCCCAACAAATGTTTTGTATCCATCAGGCAAAGCAGATATGAACTTGTGAGCATTGGCAAGAGTTGCAGCTTCAATTATCTCAGCCTCAGTAGCTGAGTCATGTCCATAAGCAATGTTTTCATAAATAGTAGTAGCAAACAGGCAAGGCTCTTGAGGTACCACAGAAATATGCCTTCTTAAGGACTTGAGGTTGTATTTTCTGATATCTTTTCCATCAATCATGACCCTACCAGATGTAGGATCATAGAATCTCTGTATAAGTGCAATGACTGAGCTCTTACCACAACCACTAGGTCCAACAAGTGCAAGAGTTTTACCAGCCTTGGCACGAAGACTAAGGTCACGAAAAACTGGCATATCTGGGCGTGTGGGATAAGAGAAATCTACATGCTTGAGTTCAACTTCACCGCGAAGACGATCAGGAACAGGAGTAGCATCTTGGTCATCAGGTTCAATTTCAGTTCTACGGTCGAGGAGATCAAAGACTGACCTCATGGCTCGACCTCCCTTGATGAAATCAGGAGCCAGTGTTAAAGTTTCAGCAGCACCATTGGCAGATACCATGAGGACCATAAAAACTCGGATTGTTTTAGAGAAATCAGAGATACCATGCTTCACAAGCCAAGAAGCATACCAAAGACCAAGTGCATAGGAAGCATAAAGTGCAAACTGAGCTATCCCATATCCACTTCCAGAAATTTGTCCCTTCCAAAAGCACCTTTGTAGTGGAGTTTCAAGGTTGGAGGAGAAAAGGCCAACAATTTTTGTTTCTGAATTGAAGGCTGCAACAGTCCTTACATTGGCTATAGCTTCACCTGCTAGTTGTGTGGCCTTAGCATGAGCAGCTTCCAGGTCACCAGAGAAACCAGTCATGAACATTTTCTGTACAAAACCCAAAACAATACAAATAATGAAGATACAGAATTGAATTGCAAAGCATGTCAAAAAGAAATGTGAAAAAGCAAACCTGCAAAACAGTGGCTGCTACAACAACAGGGAAGACAGCTATGAGGACAAGGGCAAGACGCCATTGCAACACAAACCCTGCAGTGCAAGCAACTAGCATAAGTGCAGTGTTCTGCACAATTACTGAAATTCGATCTCCAATGGCTGATCTAACATTGTTGGCATCAAGAGAAAGCCTTGCAGCAATCCTAGCGCTCTCATTTTCCTCCTGATCAAACCATGCCATTTCATTTTTGAGCACTGCCGTCAGCATTTTCTCCCTCACTCGTTTTGTAAGATTTTCACCAACAATATCCCAGAAGAAGTGTTGCAACGTATTGAAAAGAAGTGCAGTTGATGAAAGCCCAATCAACAAGTAGCAATATTTGTCTATTTCTCGGATCATGTGTCTGTGGTTTGGATTGTAATAGACACTGAGGACAGCACTAAGAACATAAGCAAAGAAGGCACTAAGGGATCCACAAACAACTGAACCTATAGAGCCAATTAAAGCATAAAGCCATTCAGGAGAGTTCATTTTTGCAAGTCGCCAGAAGGAACTGGCTTGCTCTTTGAAGGCTATCTTTTCAAGCCTGTAATTTGGATGTGATGCATCAAGGGACAGACTAAAATCAGATGTAGAGAAATCAGACAGCCTCCGCGAGTATGGTGACCGGCCATAAGAAGAATTCCGAGCAATTATGGGTGAGCTCACAGAGTTTCTTGCACTTGAAGGCCTGCGAATGAAAGTGTCATGAATATCTAGCAGTTAAAAACATGAATATACTCTCATAGACATTGAAAATGAACTTCAAACAGTTTATCACTTTAGTTACCTTGCACTACTCTTTCTGGCATTACTCATAGCAGTTTCATGTGCCATCTCCTGCATCCTTATAAGCTTGGCATAGACTCCATTTTCCCCTTTAGAAAAGAGCTCATCATGAGTTCCAATTTCAGAAACACTTCCTTGCTGAAGCACAGCTACGAGGTCAGCTTTGCGAATAGTGGAGAGGCGATGGGCAATTACAAGAGTTGTTCTGCCAATCATGAACCGGTCAAGGGCTTCTTGCACCAGCTTTTCTGATTCAGAGTCCAATGCACTTGTTGCCTCATCTAAGAGAAGAATTGCTGGGTTTTTCAGCATTGCCCTTGCAATTGCTATTCTCTGCTTTTGTCCTCCAGAAAGTTGCAATCCTCTTTCTCCCACCTGCCATTACAAAATAATTTTTTTCTTTATCAAAAATTACTTTAACAAATTACCATTTTCTAAAAGTCTTATAATAATCCAGATTGGGAGCAAACTTATCTCAATTAAATTAGTCTAGGACTAAAATTGTCTTGAATATATTAGCAGTTTCTGCCCCATCATCCTTAAATTATCATATATGATATATATGATCCCTTCTATCAATTCATAATTAGTTTATTAATAGTCTCGTGCAGAAATTATCTATTCTTATGGAGGCCATACAATGAAGATTTTTTTTTTTTTGTTTTATTCTGCGCATTTCCAGCTTGGTTGTTTGTCTTAAGCATGAACATGCACATGGTTGACTGAAGCATGTTACCCTCTTGGTCTTTTCCAGATGCAATGCACGAGCAAGCACTTCTTGACTTTGACCTCTAAACAAATTTCACATTTAAAAAAATAAAAAATAAGAAAAAGAGTTTTGCTTGTTGACCAAATAAATAGTCGAGACATTAAGCTGTTTCAGTATGATGTTCATTACCAACAGTAACAATTGTGAGATAAATAATTTCTATTTTTATTATCGATTTTTTATTCTATTTAACAATGTATATTTTATTTTAAAATATTAAAACAGTGACTGACAAGAACACGGTGGAAACAATCCAATGCATCTATAGTTCCATGCTAGATATTCAAATCCAATGAAGTGATTGGTTTAACAGTGCCATCATCATCACACAACATGCATTTCCTGGAGCCATTTTCACAAAACACAGTTGACTAACCTGGGTTTCATAGCCATCAGGAAGTTTGATGATGAAGGAATGTGCATTAGCAACCCTGGCAGCTTCTTCAATCTCAACCTGGTCTGCATCAGGCCTACCCAAAAGTATATTTTCTCTAATTGTGGTAGCAAATAAAGCAGGCTCTTGGCTCACCAATCCTATCTGCTGTCTCAGCCATTTAAGCTTCAAAGTTTTAATGTCATGACCATCTAGCAGAACTTGTCCTGCACAGTTGTTCAGCAATGTTACAACCAAAACTAGCATAAAACTTCAATCTCAAAATTAAACCAAACAAGTTCAAATAAAAACTGTAACTTTCAAATTCATCAAAGTTTACCTGAAGTTGGGTCATAGAATCTCTCAACGAGGGAGACAACAGTGCTCTTTCCAGAGCCACTGCTACCCACCAAAGCTATGGTCTTGCCAGCAGGCACATTCAAGGAGAAATCATTGAGGATCCGAACCTCAGGCCTGGATGGGTAAGAAAAGTCCACATTTTTCAGCTCCACAAGTCCAGTAACTGTATCAAGTTCCAACCCAGATTCACTGTTTCTGTCTATACCGGGTTTGTGATCAATTATACGGAAAATTTTTGCAGCAGCAACCCTGGCCTTAGTAAATGCAACCATGCTGGGTGCAGACTGGCCTAAACCCCTGTGTTGATCAATAAATCAAAATTAAAACGATTTAATCACTATGTTTTTGCTAAAAGATGAAAATAATGCACTACTCACAATCCACCGATCATAACAGCAAACATGGTTGCAATGGCAAGTCCTCCATTTGTGGAATGATGCCTAACCAGATAGCCTCCATACCACAGCAGAAGCGCATAACAGCAGAAAACAACAAAGTAAGTGGCACCCAATCCCATTCCCTTTGCAAACCCAGTTTTATAGCCAATCTTCTGAGAAACCTTCAAAGCTGATGAGTAAGCTTGCAATGCTCGAGACTCCCCAACGAAGGCTAGCACTACTCGGATTTGCACAACCGTCTGCAATATGAACAAAACCCCACATGCTATTTAACAACAAAAGTTCAAATTTTTGTCTCTTAACACTCAGAAAGTTGAAACTTTGGAAACATGGGGTGTCTTACTCTTACCTGTTCTACAATGTTGCCAGCTTGAGAAAGAGCTTCCTGGCTTTTGCCGGAGAGTTTGGCCAACGTGGTGGTGTGAATGGCTCCGATCACAGCTATCATAGGAACTACAGCGAGAGTGACCAGAGCCAATTGCCAAACAGCAGTGAAACCCACAACAAAACCAGAAACAAACGTGGCCATGTAGTGAATGAAATTCCCCAACTGCACATCAAGCACCAAGCAACAACCCAATTAAAAAACTAGTCCAATCTAATGAAACAAAAAAAAAAAAAAACTCTTGCTCAATTTGCTACTCCACCTTCTCACTAATGGCGTCCTGAACCATAACAGCATCAGTGTTGATTGCAAAAACAACATCGGATGTTCGAACCTCGGTATCAAAGAACTCAATGTCCTGATTCAACGCAGCTTCCAGGTACTTGATCCTCATCTTCGTTGATTGACGCTCTCCGCTCCACATCCAACACGAAATCTCTGCAACAACACCAACCTCTTTTACATCATCCACAACTCTAAAAAATGGAACTCAATTGAAAACCAAAGCAGAAGCTTAGTTCTACTCACCTGCCCATGAGGATGCCCATATAGCAGCACCAACCACCAAGAAGTAAAACGCATACTGCAAAAAAAAACATTACCTCAAAACTCTCAATAATTCATCACATTACGACTCCAAAATCTCAATCACAAAAAAAAAAAAAAAAAAGCCATGGAACTTCTGAATACTGTTATTAATTGTTACCTTCACCACTTCCTGAGTCATCTTGTCCACGTTATTAGCATTGGACCCAAAAGAATTTACAAGATCCGCGAAGAACCGAAGAAAGATAGGCAAAGAACAACCGTGTACTATTGCTCCAACCGTTCCAATTGCCATGAGAATGTAATCCAACCCATCAGCAAATCTAAAAAGGTCCCCAAACCCCACAGAGGGAACACTCTCACCTTTCTTTCCAACACCAACACCAACACCATCTTTGTTGGGTTCAGAGGTTTCCATTACCCTTGAAACTCCTTGTTGAGTAGCACTAGCACCTTCCTCTGCCTTTGTTGCCTCAGAGTACCCTGTTAACGTTGGTGGATTGGGTTTATATGGGTGAGAAGTGGAAGTGGAAGTGGAAGTGGAAGTGGGAGTAGCATTAGCATCATCATCACACACGAGCTCAAGGCCTTGCATTTCAGACCATTTCCACTGCTCAATCGTCTTTATCTCCTCAGAATCTTGTGACATTTGAAAAATTCCCTTAGCTTTTTATGCACAACTTCCCAACCCCCTCTTTCTCTTCTTTATTATCTAACTCTTACCTGTCTTTTGTGCTCTCATGTTTCTCACGCTAACTAACTTTTCTATTCTCTCTCTCTCTCTCTCTCTCTTAATCCTTTTTCTAATTATTGTCTTTATCTGTGTATGATGGATGGGGTTCTTTCACTCTTAATTTCTCTACTTTTTATTCTTCGTTCATTCTTCTTATTGTTCGTGTAAGTTGCTGGTTGCGGTGGTGGTGGTGTTGTGTGTTGTTGGCATATTCCTCAATACCATGATCCTATTATCTTCTGAGAGTCAAGAGTGGGAACAGCCACTGTTAGTGGTTTAATGTTCAGTTTTGCTTCTTCTGTAAAAAAACACACCGAAAGTGACACATGGTGAGAACCTAGACAGAGAAAATTTGGAGGCATGCACACACACACACACACAAAGAGAGAGAGAGAGAGTTTTGATTTTCCACCCGACAAAGAACACTGTAGTTTGAAAACTTGAAGATCAATTTTTGACTGAAACAGATTCAAACTCATTAATAAAAAAAACACAAAAAAGAGTAAAACTATTTTTTTAACACAACCCCTTTTTGTAATCAAATAAATAAATGATCATCAATTTATATTCTTCAGCTTTGGCTTCAACTTGAAGTTAATTTGCTAAAATAATGAAAACAAAACAAATAGTAATAATAATAAAAATACTTTGCATCTTGGTCTCTCTGTCTCCGCTTGGTGTCGCATAAAAGACCGGTATTTTTTCCAAAAGAAAACATTTCCACACATCCACCACTAAAATTGTTTTCTTTTATCTTGTATCTAATTTTACAAAGTGGTTAATGACATAAAGCCAATACGTGTCTAGTTAAAAACTTAAAATGCGGTTAGAAAACCATAAAACGTATTCATAGGCTGCAAATCGAAACTCAGATGTGTTAATTCCCAGCAACATTGAAACATTTTAGGAATCCTATGTACTAAAATTGAAGAAAGCCAAGTACGATACCAAATTTGTCGGGCAATCCTGGAGAGAACGGAAGAGTGATCAAAGTGTTATTGTTTAGCAAATTTTTTATATTTTTTATCTAAATATCACGTTAATCGTATTTTTTTTATCAGATCATCACGTGACGTAATTCGCTATTATTGGTAGTGAATTACGTTCGCTTATGATTTTGTGACACGTGACCACATTACATACCAAATTCGCTACAACTAGTAGCGAATTTCGTCCAATCAACTTTTTTCTCTGAAAATATGCCGCGTCTCATAAAATTATTGGCGAACATAATTCACTACCAATCATAACGAATTACGTTGCGTGGCAGTCCGGAGAAAAAGTACTATTCACGTGGTATTTGGGTAAAAAATTTGCCAAACAGTAGCACTTTGCCGAATTTTTTACCCAAATGCCACGTGAACAGTATTTTTTATCAGACTGTCACGCGACATAATTTGCTACAACTGATAGCGAATTACATTCGCAAATGATTTCATGGCACGTGGCCACATTGTGTACCAAATTCACTACCACTAGTAGCGAATTTCGTCTGGTCAATTTTTTCTGCGAAAATGTGCCACATGTCATAAAATTATTGACAAACATAATTCACTATCGGTCGTAGCGAATTACGTCGCTTGACAGTATGATAAAAAATATTGTTCGCGTGATATTTGAATAATTTTTTTTTAAAAATAGTGACACTTTGATCAATGTTTCTAGATCCCTACAAATTTTGATTAAGTAGTGAAAGAGACAGCAAATTAAATGATTTATTAAAATAATAGACCATTATTCATATTTTATGCTTCAAACATTATAATTAACGTCTGTATCATCAGAGACTATAAAGTAGCATCTTACTTACATCACTCTCTGATTTTAACAGAGATCAGAAACAACAACCGGTCAGGTCCTTTTTTAGCTTAAAAACGATATCGTTCCTGAAATTCTGACGCTTAAATTTCTTGAGCTTTTAGAGTTTTTTTTTTTCTTTTTTTTTTTCCGATTGTGGTCAGTAGCATCGTTTCAATAATTTGATCAATACATTAGGGTAAACAATAGTAGCTTTTCCTTTTCATCGGATTGACATGAAAACTAAGAAAATAAATTCGAAAAAATAGTAATTATCTGAACATAATAATATTATTATACAGATAAAAGGGAGGACAAAAAAAAGGACATATGTTAGGATTACTTTCTTTCTGACTTTTCACGCTTACCGTACAGTCTTCGCCTAAGGCTCTGTTTGTTCTGCTCAGTGGCTCAGTACCCTACATCCATGGGCAATTGTCGAACCTGAAAAAGAGCCTGGATTGTAAAATGGGGTAATTGCCAATGAGCATCACCACTAGTTTCTTTTGAAAATAATAAAAAATTTCCCCCTTGTGTTAGGCTGAAAACGGTTGGGGGTATTTACTATAGGCAGTGTCTATGAAATTTCGACATTTTAAATTTTTTGAGGTATTGTCTCTCACATTCATTGATATTTTGACACTTTTTTATATTCTAATATTTGTTGTAAAGATGTATCGTATCCGACATTCATCGATATTTTGACACTTCTTGACACTCCAATATTCGTTGTAAAGACTCAAAAAAGATTTAAAGGTTACGTTGCGTTACATTTTGAGTTCTCACTATTAGATTCGTTGGATTACGATTATTATTTTATTGAGTTTAATATAAACATTTAGGACATCGCATGTTTCTTTACAAAATTGATGAATATTATAAGTTTAGCTTTATTTTTTTGTTAAATTATTGAATATTAAATATAATATACACTACATAAATTAAAAATATTATATAATATCAAAACGTGTCGAAATTTAATCTTTTTTAGAATTAACATATCGGAGTGTCGTGTCGTGTCATATCCCGTGTCGGTGTCGTGCAACATAGGGTAGTGTTTGGTAAGAGTTATGTTTGAAGATAAATAGGCATATGAGATTGGTATTTCATTTATATCGTATTTGGTACAGGACATTAGAATATTTTACCATCAAAGTTATTTGTCTGGCGTTCGATACTTGCTTGTAAAATGGGACCAAATACACTATGCAAGAATACCACTTGTGATGTGGTATTTGAAGATAACCGGAAAAATGGAAAAAAGAGCAATAAATTATTGACAACAATACCCTTGATTCTAAGGGTTATTCACATTCAAAAATTATAAAAGGGTTATTTTGGTCATTTAAACTCATTTTCTCATCAATATTTTATCTTCGACCAAATATACACTCATAAAATTTTATCCAATTTTTCCAGTAATATTTCGGTCTTCCAAACAACTTTTTTTAAATTTTCCTGTCAAACTTGTTTTTCCACTATATTCCTAGTAATTATATTTCCTTGGTAAAAAAAATATTTTTCTTCTATCAAACGCCCCAATATTTCATTTGTAATTAATATGTGATGTGATTAATTTGATTTGTAATGATTTTTTTTTATTTTCACGTAAAAGATGTGTGCTTGACTTCGAAGTAAAATTAAGTAAAGAAATATTTATTATTAAAATATTTAATGAAATACAATTATGGTATACCGTAGATTAAGCTAAAAGTATATGCATTCATTAGTAGGTGTATTATTAGTATTAAAAAATATTCATATGAATTTAGTAATCTATATTACAATGAGAAAATATTGTGAACTGATAAAGTATATCAATGTAACATTCATCGTTGAGGCATTAATATGGTAAACAAGAGCTCAAATCAAAAATCACATGCATAAGGTTTCATACGAAGGCTAAGAATAAAGTGAAAGGTGCAATGACACAATTTTGTTGTGTATGTCCGTAACTCGGCATAAAAACAACACAAAATTGAGTGTGATGATGAAGATGTCCACCCAATGGAAGAATGAGCTATTTATAATTGAGAGAAAGATTTTCCCATTGTTTTGCCATGTAGTAGTTCCCGGATGTTTTTTCCAATGCAGGAGTATTCAAGTCGTTATTTTTTTTTTCTAAATAATTTTTTTTATTCCATTTAAATTCAGATTTTTAACTATATTTTTCTTCAAGTCCTAATATTTTTTTCCATTTGGAAGGGATGTAAGTACTACATGAGTACAGAAAAAGCTCTCCTAGTTCCACACTCTTATGCAAGGCAACTTAATTCCTTATGTGACAAAGACACATGTGTAAGGAAGAAAGAAGAAAATTAACTATTAAATGTCATAGAAATATATAAAACTATTAATATAGTCTCATTCATCAATTTAAATTTTTGGGTTGAATTAATTCTTTATATAATATCAAAATCTCCGTGTTACATGGTCAATAATATATTGATCCAGAACATATATTGACTGACTAAACAAGAAAAAATTGTGTAATCTAACTACAAGAATAACACATTTATCTATATGCTAGATTCAATTCATACACGTTATAGAAAATTTGTTGTACGGGAAGAAAGTTTCTGAAAAGCTCACATGACATGGATATGGCCATATGGGTGAGAGAGTTGAGAGTTGACACTGAACCTATCGACCACTGATGTGGAATAGGTACATAGGTACGCTGCATATCTGATATATATGTTAATCTGAAACTTAAATGGGAAAGTCGTAAACTGCAAATGGAGAAAGTCACTTCTGATACAAACTTGTTTGGGCTTTTAACCAGTTGTTGCCAACGCCATGCACTGCATGCATAAATGGCCTGCAACAAGTTATTCACTTCGTATGGATAATTTATTGAGTATATTTTCTTAATATTTTAATTGGTATACTTTATTTTATTATTTATTAAAACTAGCTCGATGGTATGAATTACTTTACCAATGAGTTAACACTCTTATTCATTCTTTTTTTTTGGTAATTATAAAACATTCAGAAAAATATTTATGCAGCTAATGCATATAAGTTATCTCCATTTACTTCTAAAATGATGTCGTTTTGTGATTAAAAGATTAAAAGATTATAATTATAAAGACTATAATAATCCTGAAATAAATTAAAATTACAAAAACACCATAATTTTTACTTCAAAATGACGTCGTATTGGACTTACCACAGATAACTTATATGCAATAATTGTAGAAAAAGCAAACTCTAAAACATTTATCACTCATGTATGGATCACCTACCGCTTCACTATTAGTCGCAAC